CTTTTATCCACCTCACCTTACCATATGTCAACAATTATTTATTGCAATTACTATCATTCTGATTAAGTTGTAAAATAAAGTTTTTATTTATTACAAAAGGAAAAAACGAAATAGGAAAAGAATAAGGTCAAAAATGTAATACATATCAAGGTTAGGAGATTAATAGCAAATAAGTTATGGACAAGTTTACTTCTTTTCTCATTTACTTCTTGGTGCTGTATGAACACTGGCTAGATAACCAGCTGGTCATACACCTCCTATAGCCGCAGCTCCATTTCGTCTCCGCACGCGCACACTGACAACAGTGACATCTGTAGCGCCATCGTCGAGGTCACCATCGACTACAATAAGTTGCAGTTGCGGTACCAACGAAAATTGCTGTGATACGGCAATTTCTGCGATAGTAGATCTAGACTGCTCACGTACCAAACTGGCTTACGTATCAATTTAACTTGCTGTTAGCGAATATCAAAACTTTATATGTATATATTCAATGTTACTGCATGTATATCTGTCAATTTATCTCGTTGCTAATAAAGGAAACTAAAGTGGAACAAACGTGAGACAAAATAGCAGAGTTTTCTTTCCCATTTCTACCAATGGTCGAAAATTCGAAAAAAAACTGTTCGTTCATTTTTCACTTATTTTTCCGCTTCTTCTGGTTTCATACTGCTCTTGAAACAGCTCGTTTCTAAGGCAACGCTTAAAAGATGTGTTCATCGCAATTTTTTTCTTTTTCCCTAGCGTTTACGATGTCTTTCAATTTTTTATGCGCATCTTCTATCTGATTCGAATTTTTCAAGTTTCCTCCTTTTTCATCTTCTGCTTTTATGAATTACTTTTACTGACTCTTTGTTACTGTTGTTGTTGCAGTCATCTTGGAAAACTAATAGGTGAGTCATTTGATTAGTTAATTAATTTAAGTTTACATCTATAGTCAGGGTCGTTCGATATGGTTTTAACAATCATAGTTTGCTTGTTGGTTATGGAACAGTTCAACAGTTAGTCATTTACTTTAATTACTGAATCAGTCTAGTCAGCTAGTCAAACAGTTATTCAATTAATATAAGAAGATTTTTTTTCACTTTTTTTTTTACTGCAATGTATTTCCATTTTTTACCAGAAAATAAGATGAGGAAAATTTGTTTTAATCAGTATTTCAGTATTGATTGTTAAATGTAGAAAAGAAAGTTTTTTTTTTTTGCTTTCATCTCTTGTTTATTACCTTTTTTTTGTGTTGAGCTACAGCTGAGCAAAAAAGGTAGAAGGAGGAGGAAATAATTTGAAAGCAATAGATGAATGGATGGATGGATGGATGGATGGATGGATGGATGGATGATTCACAAAATCATCCATGATGTTTATTTAAGTTTTTTTCCACCTACTACTTTTTTTACTTTTTCAATTTCTGCTAAATAATCAACTACGCAAGATGCAACTTTGACAAACACACGACTCACGAACACATAAATCTTTATGAAGTTATTTTATTTCTTGGATCATTTGGTTTCTGGGACGAGAGGCGGAAAGGTCGATGTGGACTGCAAAAGTTGCCAACCGGAATTAATAAGGGAGATCGGGACACTAGATGATGTTTATGATGGTTGTATCAACTGTATGTTCACTTCTCTTTCCCGTCTTTTCTCAGAAATTAACCATATTGATTGGTTATGGCCCATCTTCATCGTCATTGCCAACACCACCAGCGGCAAAAACGACGGTGCATTATGTTTTGATTTTGAAGATCAGAATTATCTTCGTCATCACCATCACCAGCAGCAGAGGCTGCAGCAATCACTCTGTAAGTCATTCAGTTTAATGGTTTCATTCTGGTCTTTTACTTGACCTCAATCCAGTCTTTTCTTACCTTATTTCATTTCTGCAAATTTCGTTCATTCTGTGCATGTGTATTATTTTTACTTTTCTTGTGAGTTATTCTTTTTTATTTTCTTTCAACTTCTAATAACTGTTTGTTCCACCTGAAGTGATCTTGAGAAATTTTGATGGTTTTTTTTACTACGATATGTTTTGCTTCGACTGTACACTGAGCTAAAATTGTCGACTAAAACTGAAACTAATTTGACAATAAATGACAGCAACGACAACAACAACAACTACATCAACAACAGCCATAAGGGTGACGATGATAATGATGATGACGACGATGACAGATTTATTGGAAACAATCGAATAATAACCTTGAAAATGTTTTTTTCTTTTTCTTCTTGCTTCTGCGTCAGTATCTCTGTTTCCCAATTAGTCACACAGAAACAGAATTTAACTTGATTGTTGACTACTTTCACATTCACTATGCTATTTTAAATATCATAAATTAGAACACACACACAGACACGGAAACACAAACACGTAGACAGCGAGCAAAAGTTTATTCAAATCTATTAGCTTAGCCATTCAAAAAATTTCCTCACGGATTTTAAAAAACTGAAACTCTAAAGAAGGGGAAAAAGAGGAAAAAAGAGGAAGCTCAAAATATTTATTTTCTCCCTATTCAAGAAGAAAAAAAGGAGTAGAGCATACAGCAGAAAGATCCGCAGTCATATGCCTGTATTATTGTGGAAAGTCCTTCTTCCTTGACTTTCTTTTTCTCAGCCAAAATTTTTGTTTATTTTTTTCTGCTTTGCAATGCTCAAAGAATTCTCGAAAGAAAAATAAATAAATAAATGTAAAAACAAACACTACAAGTGAATGAAGAAAAAAAAATGAAACTTGAACGAAAAACTGTTTTGAATAATTTGAACGAAATAATAGCGATTAAATGAACGAATGAATTACTGAATGAGTGAACGATCAGGTAAAACAGAAAAAGTGAAATAAACACGAAAACTTTGAGACAGTTCAAAATTGTCGCTTCTTCTTAAAATATTTCAACGTTTTTCCTATTTTTTCCTTTGCGCTTCTTCGAAATTTCAGTTTATTAATTGGTTATTGTTGCTTTTTTCTCTTCCTTTCCTTCTTGATTTCTATTCCCACTACGGATTGAGAATACGGAAATAAAAGAGTCACTGTCTTTTCTGTTGCTTTTTGTTTCTGCAACTGTTGAAGAATGAAAGTAATTTGTATTATTCATTCATTTACTGCAAGAGATAAAAAAAAAGAGAAGGCAACCACGTCGGCAGCAACGACAACGACGATAGACAACAAATTTGGAAAAGTATTTAATGCAAATAAAATGTGGGAAAACTGTTTTTTTC